AAACACAAACAAATTCTAAACAAGGCCTCACAAGGCATTGTCTAATCTAAAATGTCACCTCTTCTTTACACTAATAAAACCTTTAATTCTCTTAGGACAGTGACTTGAAAGGAATTCGGGGATTTATATTTACATATTAATCAATTAAAACCTTCCAACTGATTAAAGATTTAACAGTATCTCTGTTTCATCCATCCTGGTCAGTGGTGTGACCCTTTGATCTTTTACTGATAAATTCTGTGTCTGATACTACCTCTCTCACTAATATCTGAAGAAGGCTCCAAAAGCTTGTGATTTCAAATAAACCTGTTGGAATATAACCTGGTGTTGTGTGATTTCTGACCTTGTCCACCCCAGTCCAACACCAGAACCTCCACATCATGATGCCTTACACTCACTCTATCACTGCTGCTGTGCCCACCTCTCAGCAAGGCTCATGCTTTACCACTCTCACTAATTCCTGCCAGTTCTTCCCTCCCCTGCTGTGACCCACCTCGAACCCATGACACTATTAATCTGCATCCATCAGGGCTGCTGAAGCACTCGCTTGGCACACGTCTGTGGACAGTGCCCTGAATTGAAAGTAACAACTGTGCCAGCCATTTTCATCCCCCTGAAGAGAAGCCCCTTGACTGGTATCATAAGGCTTTCCTTGAATAACTGCCAGGGTTCCCACAAGTGCCTGCTGACAACCATGACCAGCTTCCGTCCTCTGTGTCGGAGCTAAATGACAGCGATTAGATGAGGGTGGTATCACTGAGGGGGCAAAGTGCAACCAGGAAGGCAAGGCAAGGCAAGGCAAGGCAAGGCAGGGATGTGAGCATCCAGGCAGGTGCAGAGTGAGTGAGCACTATGCGAGTGAGCAGACAGTCAGAGACTCAGCCTAGTGCAGTCTGTGAGAAGGGTGTGTGTCTTCACTGGAACATCGCCGTGATAGATGCTGGGTGCAGCCTTGAAATGGGGGAGCATCGTTTAAGTGGGTCAGAAATGTGCTATGAGGGTGGCACATGTCAGATACCAATGTATGTGGATGGCCGGGGGAGGGTGCAATGCCCAGAGTGTGCCCTGAGATGTCCTTTGGAGCAAGCAGTGAGCTGAATTCGCCAAGTTCTCACTCGCGTTTCTACATCAGGTTTTCTTGACACCTAGCTTGTCTGGGAAGGTAGAGAGCTGAATGTAAATGAGGTGAGTCAGGCTGTTAACAAAGGGACTAACAAACTTTAGTCACTGTCAATTGGCTGCTGCCTGGCCAGAATCTCACTGCAGCACTCGTGATGGATCGAGCTGTCCTGATATCGAGACAACTAGGTGCAGAGCTGGATGAACACAGCAGGCCAAGCAGCATCATCAGAGCAGAAAGGCTGTTGTAGTATGGCGCACTGACCTCTACATCGCCGAGGCCAGATGCCAACTCTCCGTCACCTCCTCCTACCGCCCCCTTGATCACGACCCCACCCCTGAGCGGTTGTAGTATGGCGCACTGACCTCTACATCGCCGAGGCCAGACGCCAACTCTCCGACACCTCCTCCTACCGCCCCCTTGATCATGACCCCATCCCCGAGCAACCTCACCATAAAATCCGCAGACAAGGGAGGTGCAGTTGTAGTATGGCGCACTGACCTCTACATTGCCGAGGCCAGACGCCAACTCTCCAACACCTCCTCTTACCGCCCCCTTGATCATGACCCCACCCCCGAGCACCAAACCATCATCTCCCAAACCATCCACAATCTCATCACCTCAGGTGACCTCCCACCCACGGCCTCCAACCTCATCATTCCCCAACCCCGCACCGCCCGCTTCTATCAGCCTTTCTGCTCCGATGATGCTGCTTGGCCTGCTGTGTTCATCCAGC